TCAGCCAGTTTACAGCATGTTTTCTTTTAAACGCCCTGATATATGCAGTTACCCTGAATTCTTGTGTGTACTATATAGTAAGTAGGTTTATGTTGGGAAGTGAGTGGGATTCTGAAAAAAAATGAGGTAGCAGATCAGGACTTAAATAAAGTCCAAACAATTCAATCCTGGTGTGAAGTCATATGGAAGCTACAATTTGAGCTATAGTCGAAGCAGTGTTATAACCTACACTATTGTTGGGCCTGGGTAGGAATAGTATGGCATGGTATGGTAGGCAGATTAGAAATAATACATTGGCATTGCTGTGTCATAGGAGAATGATTTCAGCTATCTATAACTTATTTAAGAGTTTGGGCATAAATAATGGTTTTCAGGAACATGGACTTATATTACTAAAGCAGTGATAATGATAAACTATTCTGGTATTTTTATGTTTTGACCTTTATCCCAAATCTTATATTTACATGTGCCAGTATTAAAACAACACCCAATTATGTAAGCAATTAAAAGTCCTTTCCTTTCACTTAAGGCTAAAGTATGTGCTGATCATTTTTTAATGAAAGCAGTAAAAGTGAGATAGGGCATTATTTGTCATTAAATTGTGAGTAGTACTTAGAATGGCACCTGAGGTATGATATGTTGAAAAGATCAGCTGCTTGTCTTTTGAGCACAAGAGAGGAGGCAAAGTTACAATATCAAAAACTTTTTTTATTTTGAAATATTTCAGATAATGTAAAAGATATGGGTAATAGCAAAATGAGCATCTGGCTACTTATCACCAGTTAAGAATTAAACATTACAAATTCAGCCCTAGGTGAGGTGGCTTAGTTAGTTAGTTGGAGTGTCATCCCATGGACCGAAAAGTTTGCAGGATTGATGCCGGGTCAGGACACATACCCAGGTTGTGTGTTCCATCCCAGGTCTGAACATGTATGACAGCTGATGTGTCTGTCTCTTTCTCAGTGAAAAAATGTCCTCTGGTGAAGATTTAAAGACATTACAGATTCAACTGAAACCCCCCCTACACCTTTCCTTGATCTGTTTCCTAACTCCCCCAGGGGAATTCCTATCTCCCTCTCTTTGTGTAAACTTTTTCCCAGCAGTGGCTTTTCCCTTTCTCTAGACCTGTGTAAGTTTGTTTGTTTCTTCAGAGTTCACCTCAATGACCTTTTCATTTTAACTGTATATATTGTATATCACAGTTAAGAGTAGTCTGACTTAGGGGAAGTTGAAAATAAGATTGTATACATGGGGAAGAAATCTACCTCAATACCTAGGGAAGGGAACATCAGACTTAAACAGTACATAGAGCAGAACAGAACTGATATAGATGTAAGAATAATCTAATGAAATAATTATTTTAGAAAGATTAGTCTGGTAGCAGAATTGTGTGGAGCAGTGGGTCTGAAAGGAAGTGGAGAGATGCATTTTCTCTGAGCTTTTGCAGCCCTCTACTGGTCTCTGAAAGAGGCACAGTGTAGAACTTGGTAGTCAAACTAGGAGATCAGTAAACTTAGCAACTTATTTTTAGAATCTTAGAACCTTAGAAGACATTTATGCCAAGTGTCCCAATTGCAGTTGAATATTTTATATATCCATCTTAACAATTCTGGAAATAAATGTAGATATAGGTATATATTAAATACCCAGAGCAAATAGGTTGCTGTAAACATAATTGCCTATATTAAGTTCTTTTAAAATTCCAAATGTATTGTTAGAATGTGGTTCTTTATGGTCTAGTTGTTTGACAATGTCAAAAAATCTTTTTACCTCTAATTTCTCTTGTTAGCATTATCTAAAGTAATGAGAATTTTATTTTTTAAAAATTTGAGGTATTGTGTAGTTATTACTTTTAGAAGGTAAATACAATTAAATGCTAATTGCTTCTTTTAAATTATTTTCAAAGCATTTTTCTTCTTGTTGCTGGAGTCAGAAACTTGGGTGTTACCCTAGCCTCCTTGCTTATTTGCCATTTTTCTCTACCTCACACTCTGATCATTATACTTGAAGTGGTCTCCTCTTTAATCTATTGGTAATTCCTCTTTAGTCTGCTTTTCAAAGTCTTAGTAAGGGCATCTTTCTATTTGAATTGTGTTACTACTTCTTTAAAAAAGCCTTAATTTGCTTTTTATCATAAAGGTCAAACAACACAATGACAAGGTGCTCCATAATGTCCACCCCTGCTACTTTTGTTAGCCTTATTTTCTACTGCACTGTTTTTCAGTTTTTGCAATCCCTTCAATGTGGCCTGCTTTCTTGTGGGGTTTGTGTCTTCACACCTGTGCTCATGCTTTTTCCTCTGCAGCCCCATCTATACATAGATACAGATATAGATAAAGATAACAGATATCTATCTGTCTAGATATAGATATAGATAATCTGTTCCATCTGCATCTACCTGCCTCATAGTTACCCCTAAGACTCTTCCACTATTAATCTCTGTATTGAAATTCCCCAGCTGTACCTCCTATATATAGCACCCAAGTTGGGTGATCCCTTTGGGCTAGTACTATAATATCTGTAGTATTTATTATTTCATATAGCATACTCGTGTTTTGCCCCTTAAAAACTGTAAATTCCCTTTAGGCTAGAATTGTGTCTTGTCTTTAGTTCTAAGATTTATCTTAGTAAATATTAAATGGTTTAATGAGCAATAATTACATGAGCAAACTGGGGTATGATAGCTAAAGGAAATACCCATAATTAAATAATGTAACTCTGAATTCATTTTTTTTTTTTGAAGTCAGGAGACTTAGTTCTTCTAGATCAATACTTATTTGACAATATATTTATATTGTAGAAAGAGAGGAAGAAAATAAAGAATTGTGAATTTTAGAACTGGAATGGACCTCATTTTAAAATGAAGAAACTGAAACCTAAAGAGTTTCTTACAGTTACAAGAACCCAGGTGTTCTAGTTCATTTTTTACTTTGCCGAATTCCTCCTAATATATTTTGCCTTAGACTTGGCTAGGATTACTAGATACCGGTTGTTTTTATTTCAAGCGATTGGGCTATTTAACTGTTACTCTATTTTATATCATAGCTTTACCTTTATGAAATTTTGAAGGTGATAGGCTCATAAAGCCAAACCAAGTTGACAATTTATAATACATTTACTTCGCATAGTCTTCTGAATTATCTGCTGTGCTCAGATTCGTTAAAGATACATTTAGCAACACCAACCCAAAGTGCAGCCTATCTTTACTGGCTTGAGTTTCTGTCTGGAATATTTGCTTCCTTTTCTATTGTGGTAGCTGGATTTAAAAACATAAGACACCTTTTTATCTCTTTTGCTTTACCTCCATCTGAAGCAGTTTCTCACCTGCTGTCTTATTATTCTTTCCCCTTGGGTTCTACCCAGAGAATTGTAGTCCTCCAGAGCAAATCAAGTGTAAGTCAACTTACTATTATTTTTTAACTTTTTATTTCAAGATTACACACTACATGTTCATTATAAAAGTTAATATAGGATTGTATAAAATAAACTTTAAGCGTTCCTTAAGGATGTTTAAGGACATTGTTGAGGACAGTTTATTTTAAAGGATGTGGATATTTGCCTTCATCTCTGGCACGGTGTTGGTTAAATTTGTGGTTTTATGGTACTATTGGGTTGGCCAAAAAGTTCGTTTGTTTTTTCTGTAAGATGACTCTAGTAGCATTTAGTTGTCTTTAATTTCATTTAAAACAATTTTATTAGATTGTATTGTAACAGCTGTCATATCACTTTGCATTAAAAATAACTTAGTAAATGGGTGAATTTTTGTGCAGCCATTTTAATATCGAAGATGGAAGAAAATACGCAACATTTTTGGCACATTATTCTCAATTATTTCAAGGCAGGGAAAAACACAACTGAAATGCAAAAGTAAAGATTTGTGCAATGTATGGAGAAGGTGCTGTGATTGATCAGGTGTGTCAAAAATGTTTTGTGAAGTTTCATGCTGGCACTTTCTCACTGGATGATGCTCTATGGTCAGGTAAAACAGTTAAAGTTGGTAGCGATCAAGTTGAGTAATCAGTTGAGAACAATCAGTATTATTCCATGTGAGAGATAGCCAGCATCCTCAAAACATCCAGCTCAAAGTTACTGGTGAAAACGAAAAGTGTGCCTTTTATTTTACAGAAGAAATGAAGCAGACTTTTTGGCCAACCGACTAATTCTTTGGTCTGGAATTACAACCATCTTATTCTTATGGGAAAATGTTATGGAAGAGCTGCCAGAAAACATTGTGGTGAAATCAGCCATTGGTTACTTGGGAAGGTATAAATAAAGAAAGCATGATCCTTTTTCATAGTCTGAATTCTCACTTGAATGGTTTAAGTAGTTAGTATCCCAGAAGCATGACCATTTATTTTGAGGCCTTTTCCATATTATTGTTATATTGATTTGAGAGAGAAACATCAATTGTGTTGCTTCATGCATTTATGCATTCATTGTCTGAGTCCTGTATGTGCCCTCACTTGGTATCGAACCTACAACCCTGGCATATTGGATGATGCTCGAAGCAACTGAGTTAACTCACCAGGGCCTCTCCATTATTTTCTAAAACTGCTTTAAAATATGGGGAACCCTGCCCAAGTATTCCAGTTGTTTAGAACACTGTGCTGTGCCCCAAAAGGTTGCAGGTTCAGTTACCGATTGGGGCATGTATGGGAGGCAGCTGATCAGTATTTGTCTCTCATATCAATGTCTCTCTCTCGCTCTTCCTCTTTCTCTAAAATCAGCAAAAGCCTCCTTGGGTGAAAATTGAAAAATAAAATGAAATAATACATGAGGATATTAAGCTGTTTGGTCTTTTCTTAACTAGGAAATACTTAATACTTATTTTGATTTATTTTTTATTCTAATGGTTTATTTATTTTTTTGCCAAGGGGAAACAGTAATAAGGATGTGATAATTGTTTAATAATTTAAAATATCATTTCTATTTTTGTTCAAATTTTTGCTTTTTTTAAAAAAAGGTTTTGCTTGTTCTGAGAGAGAGAAACAGTGATGTGCGAGAGATAACATAGATTGGTTGCCTCTCGCATGCCCCCACCTGGGGACCTGGCCTGCACCTAAGGCATATGCCCTAACTGGGAATCAGACCGATGACTTTTCAGTTCACAGGCCGGTACTCAGTCCACCAGGGCTAAGCTATCATTTTTGCATTCATAGAATGAAAGAATTTGGAGTGAAATTTTTATAAACCTTTTATTCTGGAATCAGAATCAGGAGGATAAGAAATCTTCCCTTCCACTGCAGTTGCCATTAAGGAATAGCAGCCATGGCCCTCCGCTACCCCATGGCCATGGGCCTCAACAAAGGCCACAAAGTGACAAAGAACGTGAGCAAGCCGAGGCACAGCCGCTGCCGCGGGCGCCTCACCAAGCACACCAAGTTCGTGCGGGACATGATCCGAGAGGTGTGTGGCTTTGCCCGCTATGAACGGCGCGCCATGGAGCTGCTCAAAGTCTCTAAGGACAAAAGAGCCCTGAAATTCATCAAGAAAAGGGTGGGGGGACACATCTGTGCCAAGAGGGAGAGAGAAGAGCTGAGCAATGTCCTTGCAGCCATGAGGAAGGCAGCAGCCAAGAAGGACTGAGCCCTATCCCCTCTGTGTAATAAAACCTGTTCAGAAAAAAAAAAAGAAAGAAAGAAAGAAAGAAAGAAAGAAAGAAAGAAAGAAAGAAAGAAAGAAAGAGGAGAGAGGAGGGGGGAGAAAGAAAGAAAGAAAGAAAGAAAGAAAGAAAGAAAGAAAGAAAGAAAGAAAGAAAGAAAGAAAGAAATCTTCAATGTCATCTAGCCTAACTTTACTTTTAAGAGGAAATGGAAGTACTGAGAAGTGATGAAGGTCAACCAAAAAATCAGTGATACATGTCAGAATAGAATGGTGCACTTCAGGTCCCCAGCTCAAATAACAGAGAAGGTAATGATCACTTTCCGAACTGAATGACTCATAAGGATCATTGAATTTTTTGCCGTAACTTGATCCGTTACTAGTTGCCTGTATTCTCAGCAACTTTGGAGGAAGCATTTTTACTCCCACAGCCTCTGCAGCCAAGTGAAAACTAGAACCGGAAAGGTGTTAGGAATTCCCATTCCCTCCTTACGGTTGAGCCTTTATTTTATTTTTATTTTTTAAGTATTTATTTTATAGATTATGCTATTACAGTTGTCCCATTTTTCCTCCCCTTTATCCTTCTCTACCCTGCACCCCCTCTCCACTAGCATTCCCTCCCCCACCCCCAGTTTATGTCTGTGGGTCGTACATGTAAGTTCTTTCGCTTTTCCATTTCCTATACAGTTCCTAACCTCCTGCTGTCTACTTTGTACCTGCCAATTATGCTTCTTATTCCCTGTACCTTTTCCTCCATTCTCTCCCCTCCCCTTCTCCACCAAACACCCTCCATGTGTTCCCTATATCTGATTCTGTTCCTGTCCTAGTTGTTTGCTTAGTTTGTTTTTGTGGGTTTTTTAGGTTCAGTTGTTGATAGCTGTGAGTTTGTTGTCATTTTACTGTTCATAGTTTCAGATCTTCTTGTTTTTCTTAGATAAGTCCCTTTAACATTTCATATAGTAAGGTCTTGGTCATGATGAGCTCCTTTAACTTGACCTTATCTGGGAAGCACTTTCTCTGCCCTTCCATTCTAAATGATAGCTTTGCTGGATAGAGTAATCGTGGATGTAGGTCCTTGCCTTTCAAGACTTGGAATATTTCTCGTCAGCCCCTTCTTGCCTTGAAGGTTTCTTTAGAGAAATCAGCTGATAGTCTTATGGGAACTCCTTTGTAGGTAGCTGTCTTCTTTTCTCTTGTTGCTTTTAAGATTCTCTCCTTATCCTTAATCTTGGGTAATGTAATTATTATGTACTTTAGTGTGTACTTCCTTGGGTCCAACTTCTGTGGGACTCTCAGAGCTTCCTGGATCTCCTCGAAGTCTTATTTCCTTGGTCAGATTGTGGAAGTTCTCCTTCATTATTTGTTCAGATAAGTTTTTGATTTATTGCTCTTCCTTTTCTCCTTCTGGCACCTCTGTGATTCACATGTTGGAACGTTTAAAGTTGTCCCAGAGGTTCCTAAACCTCTCCTCATTTTTTTGAATTCTTGTTTCTTCCTTCTGTTCCAGTTGAATGTTTAATTTCTTCCTTATATTCCAAATCGTGGATTTGAGTCCTGGTTTCCTTCCCTTCACTGTTGGTTCCTTGTATATTTTTTTTTTTAAACTTCACTTTGCATAGCCTTCATTTCTTCCTCTATTTTTTGTCCATACTTAGTCATTTCTGTGAGCATCCTAATTAGCAGCGTTTTGAACTCTGCCGTCTGATAGGTTGACTGTCTTCTCATCACTTAGTTCTTTTTTCTGGAGTTTTGATATGTTCTATCATTTGGGCCATATTTCTTTGTCTTGGTTTGCCTGTTGCTATGTAAGGGGCAGAGCCTTAGGTATTCACCAGTGCAGGGCAACTCACCTCGCTGTGTTGTGATGCTATATGTGGGGGAGGGATCAGAGAGGGGACAATGCAGCTTGCTCAGCTCTTGCCCCGCTTTCAGTCACTTCTCCTGCCACCCACAAGCAAATTGGGTCCTCCTGGTGTTGATTCCCAGGTAGGTGGGCTTGTGTACATTCTAGGACCCCTTGGGTCTCTCCAACGAACTCTCCTGTGATAGTCTTTACTTTAAGTAGAATGTAAAATTTATAAGTTTATAGGGCAGCATTTGAATTTCTTTATTATATGCATCAAGAGCTGCTAAGACATCATTTTAGTTCTCATAGCCTTAACACTTGAGCTTTATTTATCATTTCATAACAGATGAAGAAATTAACTTGGACTTTGTTTTCAGTTGTATTTAATCTAAAGTGCATTTTCTGGGGACTTCTGGACAGAATGGTAGACTGGGTGAGCTCCTTTTTTCAAATAGTGGAAATGCTAGATAAAAATAAAACATTTTTAGAATACACAGCTGAGCTTCAAAGCAAGAAAGATGAATCTGTGGGTGCCATTTTAGGTAAGAAGAACTAAGTCATAATGGAAGACAAATTGAAACCCTGTCCTGAAAGGAAAATAGAGATACTCCTTAATGTGTGAGCTTTAATGGGGTATTGGAATCCACAGGCTCAGGGATGTTAGGGAGCTGAGCTCAGATCAGGAAGAATCTGAATTATTCATGATAGGGCCTTAAAAAAAGAGTAGTACATCTTCCAACCTGTTTTTATATTTCCTGATATAACTTCTTAACCTTTTATTATCTTACTGTGTTCTCTTTTACAGAATACGTTGCTGAATTTTATTTTTATCCAGCCTTAGAGACTTATATTTTGATTAATGATTTCAGTCTATTTTCATTTATTGTAATAACATATATTGAAAGTTATTGATGTTCTCTTTACTATCCTATTTATTTTCCATAGTCAGCTTCTTAATTTTAAATATATATGTGTGTATAAACATATTTATGTGTACATGTGTGCATATACATACTGGGTTTGTCCAGAAAGTACCCAGCCATGCACTATGAAAAATAAGGCATTTATTGAAGAAAATACAAGATACATTGTACCTAGGACAATGATGCCTCAGTTCCTTTCCAGGTAGGCGCCTTGGGACCTCACACAGTTCTCCCAATTACTATCAGCTACCCTGTTGTATTTTCCTGAATCTCATTGATGGTCTGAAATCTCTCCTTTCAAAGGTGATTTTAGTTTTGGGAAATGCTAGAAATTACAGGCTGCCAAATCTGGGCTGCAGGGGGAGCGGAGTCACCTGGGTGATTCGACATTTCACAAAAAAACTCTGCAAGAGATGTGATGGATGAGCAGGTGCATTGTCTTGATGAAGCTGCCAATCACCAGTTGCCCATAGCTGCAGTTGTTTTTGTCATATTTCATCTCTCAACCTATGAAGAACATTGAGATAGTACTGTATATTAAGAGTTTGGCCTGGAGGGGCGTACTTACGATGGACAGCACCTTACCAGTCAAAAAACACAGTTAACATGGCCTTTATCTTGCTGCAACTTTGCTGCACTTTCTTTGGGCATGGAGAACCAGGTGATTTCCATTGGGAAAATGATTGGGCCTTCATCTCTGGATCATAGCCGTAGGCCCACGATTCATCTCCAGTTACGACCTTCTTGAGGAAATCTGGTTCATTGGTAGTGGTTTGAATCTCATTAGCAGCAGCAGCACGATGTTCCTTCTGCTCTGTTAGCAAAAGCCGTGGAACAAATTTTGCCACAACACATTTCATGACAAGATCCTGCATCAAAATCTCGGACGTAGTAGTTTTTGGAATCCCTAGATCAGTTTCTAGTTCTTGCACTATCAGTTGCTGATCTTTGTTCACTGCAGTGCATATGTGTTCAACATTCTCAGGTGTTCTCCTTGTTGGAGGCCTTCCAGAATGTTGATAACTTTCAACAGTTTCTCAGCCATCTTTGAAGCATTTGTGCCACACTATTATTTAAGGTGCACTCATTGCATCATCCCTGAAAGCCGTCTGACTCATTGCATCATCCCTGAAAGCCGTCTGAATCATCTGAATAGTTGCTGCAGAGGAATGCCCAGGCTGAATGCAAAATTTAGTGCAGATTAATTATTCTACTTGCAACATGCTCATTCAACAGCATCTACCATCCCTGCTGGCTAGTCCAGTGAAGTTGTCATTGTTCACGCATGTGCATTCCAGTCTACTCTCCTTGGCTGCTAGTTTAACATCAGTGTCGTGAAAACCATTCTTGTGTATTAACAGTGTTTGGCCTTTTTCCGGACAGACCTTGAATATGTGTATATATGTGCATGCATATGCATGTGTGTGTGTGTATTCCTCCAAAGAAAGGAAGTACCTTAATCACTTTCTCATTTATCTTTAGTCTCCTTCACCCCATACCATAACCCTTCAGTTTCCCAGCAGATATGTTGATATTCTGTAGAATGTTAGTTCTGGATTGTTAGGGGTATTTTTGAAGCATCTGTCTTTTTTTATGAAATATATTTTATTAGGTTAATCATTCACTCTTACTCCCCTACATCAAGTACTGTCTTCATAAATTTGTTTTTCTTTTTGCTTTTTCTCTCTTTATTTTTAAATTACACTTGCCATACAGTATTATATTAACTTAAAAAGTGATGATCCTGATAAACCTAGAACCCATCTGACACCATATGAAGTTATTGCAGTATTATTGACTGTATTCCCTATGCTATGCTTTACATCCCCATGACTATTCTGTAACTATAAATTTGTACTTCTAAACCCCTTCACCTTTCCATCCAACACCCAAACCCTGTCTAATATGGCAGCAGTTAAAATGTTCTCTGTATCTATGAATCTGTTCCTGTTCTTATTTGTTTATTAGATTCCACATGTAAGTGAAATCATCTGGCATTTGTTTTTCTCAGACTTACTTCATTTAGCACAGGACCTCCTAGGTTTATCCATTCTGTTGCAGATGGCAAGATTTCATTTTTTTAGTAGTTGAATCATATTCCATTTATGTAAACATTGCTCCTTATTTACCCATTCATCTATTGATGTATACTTAGGTTGCCTCCATATCTTTGCTATTGTAATGCTGCAGAAAACATTTTTGATTTAGTGTTTTGGGTTTCTTTGGATGTATACCCTGCCCATAAGTTGAATTGCTTGA